GCACTTCCGCCTTGTGATCATCAGCGCTTCTGCCACTCAGCTGGGACTTGTCCCAGTCTTGCCTCACTTGCTCACCTCTTGACCTTACTGTCAGAATTATAACTGCATGTAGTTCTAGCTGTAGTGTAGTTATCCTAATCATGCTGTTTGGTGGTGCACCTTCTTGTCATGTTTCTTGCCTATTTGTACCTTTGAGTCTATAGTGAAACCCTCTTTTGGCTAATCTCTCGACCCCTTCCTCTCGTCACTCTCGTTCTACCCTCAACCCAAGTCCTAAGTCAACTTAGGCTTTTATCATGGTATCAGAGCGGTTACGACCTTAATGGGCCCACCGCATTTTAATCCTCGCATGGCGTCCGCCTTGCTGGCCCCGTCGCGTCCTGCTCGCCACGTCACGACGGTCGCGGCCTGCTTTGCAACGGTCACGGCGACCAGCGCGGCGAGCTTGGCGCTTGTTGTCGGCGGACCTGCTCGTCGCGCCGCACTTTCACCGGCCCGTCGAGTGCGCGATCGCTTGCCATTCGCTGGCATCGCCTGCTTCTGCCCGACGTGCTGCACCCGCGACCCTTGGCGAACCTCGCGTTACGTCCCCCCTCCCCGCCCATCGCGCTCTAGGCAACCTTCCTCACCGGCCATCCCGTTGGCCGCGCTGCAACTGCCGTGAGTGCTCCTGCTGTGGGGGGATGTGGGAGTGGCGGACAGTGGAGGCGCGAGGGAGGCGGTTGGCGGACAGTGGGGGAGGTGGCGTGATGGGGTGACCGTTGTGAGACGCCAGCAGCGCCTGCCGTCGCCTTTTCTCGCCCCATACGCGAATGTCGCTGTGGGGGGGAGGGTGAAGGAGTGGCGGGAGTGTACCCGTAGGAACCAGCCGCCACTCTCCTCTCTCCTCTCTCGTCCTGCAGTGCCATTCGCTGTGGGGGAAAGGGGGGAGTGTGAGGGGGTGGCGAGAGAGATTCTGCCGAGCCAGCAGCCGCCCCTCCTCCTCTCTCTCTCACTACCGCATATGCCGCTGTGGGGGGAGGGTGAGGAGGAGGCGGAATTCAGCCGGGCATCTGCTGCTGCCGCCAGCTGCTACTGTGGCACCTCCAGCTGTCGCCCCTGTCGCCACCTGCCCTGTCTTCTACTGCCTGCTGCTGGGGCCTGCAGGTGCTGCCGTCGAGCCGCTGCTGTCCTGCTGCACGTTGCGGCCACAGAGCCTGCTCCTCAGGCGACCTGCCGCCCCTACACTTGCTTCTGCTACTTCTATCTTGGCTGAGGGGTTGGTGCAGCTGAATCTGCCACCACTGCACTGGTTGCAACTGCTCTTGCCTGCTGTTGCTGTTTTCTCTGTCTGTGATGTACCCCTGCAGGTTGTGTCTTGCACTTGGCTATTCCTGCATGCAGTTATGGGGGGATGTCAGAATTATATTGTTATAACTGCATGTAGTTCTAGCTGTAGTGTAGTTATCCTAATCATGTTGTTTGGTGGTGCACCTTCTTGTCATGTTTCTTGCCTATTTGTACCTTTGAGTCTATAGTGAAACCCTCTTTTGGCTAATCTCTCGACCCCTTCCTCTCGTCACTCTCGTTCTACCCTCAACCCAAGTCCTAAGTCAACTTAGGCTTTTATCACTTACTTGTACTCTTGCATATATATATACCTATTCTTGCTTGTTTAGACTTATATATATATGTCTCCTCCTGCATGTGAACTGGCCTTGTGGCCTTGACCTTGTGCTCAGACTGTGTGGTGACGTTGTGATCCACCTTGAGCTTGCTTTGCTTTGCTTTGCTTGACTGGTCTTGTGACCCCTTGTTCTCCCCCACTTTGCTTATGGGGGTGTGTCAGAACATTATAGCTTATGCTTTTGTGTAGGCTATAGTGGGGTATCCCATAGGGGGTACAACCCAATTAGGGTTAGTACTTGTACCCACTTCATTCATAGTTCATTCATTCGCGTTCACTTCTTAACAACGCGCGGATTGACGGGGCAGAAAGCCGCTGTGCGCCTTGGGGCGCAGGGCGGGCAGAAAACCGCCGCGCGCCTCGGGTCGCACGGCGGGCTGAAAACCCTAATTTCGACGCCGCGCACCACGGGGCGCGCGGCGGACAGAGCGGAAGCGGAAGCAGGTGGTGAGCCCATACACAGGGAAGCGGCAAACATGCGCCCTCTGATACCATGTGGAGATAGTGAGTAGTATAGTTAAGATTAGGAGCCATAGTTAGGTAAGCCCTAGGTAGGCAAGAGAAGTTTAAGCAAAGAAGAAGGGTTTTCACTTGCAGCAATGAGGATACATATAGCAAACCCTCGATGGGTTTTACTCGCTATAGAGCACCCCACTACAGGCTAGAGAATAACATTATGACAATCATTTCCCAAAGGTTCATTAAGTACACTCAAAAGGGTACGCTTATTTGAACTGGATTTGATAGGGTTGATCATATTTTTAGGGCTCACAGATTGTGTTGTTCCATGTGATAGTTGTAATGATTCAAAGGTTATGCTGTCACCTCCCCCCCATGCTAGGCAGGGGATGCGATAGCATAGTATTTTTGGTCATTCACTAATACACATCATTACTATCATATTGACATGCATAATTTACTACATTATCATTTACATATCATTTATGGTAATTACTAATTACCCAATCATTCATACATATCTACGAATGCATATGCATATCATTCATTCACCACCACAACGGACATTAAAAAAGTCAAATCAATTTAATCAGCATGCATTCATACTCAAATAGCATGCTGAAATTTCAACCACACTACATACAATAGAAGCATTTCGGGAATTCTTGTTTGGTTTTCATTTTTTATTTTTTTAGATGATGAAACAAAAAACAGTTCAAATCGATTGTAATAGGTTGCTTCGCAACCCAAAAAAGGTTTGCTAAGTAGCGAGTTAGTGCGCCCATAGCCCCCTAGGCTAGCGAGCCTGTCGGTAACCCTTCATATGATCAAACTGGCATCCTTAGTGCAGATCTTAAGGCACCCTCCCTCACAGAGCTGCCATAGGACACGGCACAGCAGCGGCGACATAGGCGTCAGTTGTGCCCACATGGGGACTTGAACCAGAGACCATTCGCTCTGATACCATCTCATATTACCAGACGTACACGCTCCGGGACTCGCCGCAGCATAATGGGTTAGCTGAACATCGCATTGACTTGGTCATGGAGATCTATCGTACCTCCATGACTCAATCTAGTGCCCCTAATTTCTCTATGGGTTCTTGCAATCCGCTATGGCACGCACGAGCTAAGCATGTGGCCCCGTGTCTCGCGGCTACAGGTTTTGCCAACCTTCCTCTTGACTGGGTCCCCTGGTACTGCACGTGTGTTTCGTGTTTGGGGTTGTTTTGCTCACATCCGCGACCCTTGCGCGGACAAGCTCTCAACCTGCACTTCTCCTTATGTCTTTCTTGATTCCCTTCTCTACGCCTCTAACTGCTGCTTTATCAACCTTGACTCTGTTGAATTATATTGCATATCGTTGTTGGAATCACTGAACAGGAATGGATGAACTAGCAGTGAAATGAGTACAAGTACCTAACCCTAGAATTGTGTACCCCCTATAGGCTAACCCATTGTAGCCTAAACTAACACAACATATATAATGTTTGACACACCCCCATAGGCAGAGTGGGGGAGAACTAGGGGTCACAAGACCAGTCAAGGCAAAGCAAGGCAAAACAAGCTCAGGGTGGATCTCAAGGATACCACACAAATTCCGAGCACAAGCAAGTGGTCACAAGACCAGTTCACATGCAGGTTTATAATAGAGCAAAAGGTACAATGATCACAACCTAACAAGAGTAAACATGCAGATATATATATAGAGATCACAGTACAAACAGACTCAAGAAGTAAGCAAGTGAGGTCCAGTAGGTACAAGGCCTAGAAGAGTGCAAAAGCGCTGATGGTCACAAGGCTGAACCGCCTTGGTGAACACATCAGCAGTGTTGGCCTCAGAGGCCACGTAACGCAGGCGAAGCTGACCACGCTGCTGCAGCTCTCGAGCAAGGAAGTAACGCAGAGTAATGTGCTTCGTTCTGTGCTCCAGTATGTGCTCCTCACACACGGCAATGGCTGCCTTGTTGTCGACGTACAGCACTGGAGGAGAACGAGGCTGCTCTCCAAGGTCGGTCAGCAAGTAGGTGAGCCAGCGTAGCTCCTGGGCCGCCATGGCTGTGGCGTAGATCTCAGCCTCACAACTGGAGCTGAGAACAGAAGAAGAGCGAGTAGAACGCCAAGAAACAGAACCAGAGCCAAGACTGAAGGAGTAACCCTGAGACGACCGCTGAGTAGCATGGTCGTCTGCCCAAGAAGCGTCTGAGTGCCCAGTGAGAACAACTGGGACTCGCCCTCCAAGCACTAGCCCCATGCCCGACGTACTGCACAAGTAGCGCAACACCCTCTTAGCTGCATCCATGTGCTCCTTCCGGTGACGGCCGGGAGCGACATAGCGTGCAAGAATGCTGAGAGGGTATGCAAGGTCTGGTCGAGTGCAGGTCATCAGGTACATGAGGCAACCCACAAGCTCTGGATACGGGCCACTCGACTCTACGGACTCATCCAAAGGCAGAGCTGAGAGCGAGTGACCGGTAGGCAGAGGAGTGGGCTGAGGCGAGGAGTACGTGAAGCGGAAGCGCTGAAGGACCTGCTGCACCATGTGTGACTGAGTCAAGGTGATGGTGCGGCGTGCTCTGTCCCGGGTGATCCGCAAGCCAAGATAGCTTGTCAGTTCACCTTGGTCTGTGCACGTGTGTCTCTTCTGCAGCTCCGACTTCACGTGGGCGAGTGCCACAGTGTCAGCAGTAGCAAAGACCAAGTCGTCAACGTACACAAGGACGTAGAACGGCGGCAGTGAGGTGTCGGTGCGTAGAAACAGCGACGGGTCAGCAGTAGAAGGCGTGAACCCAAGAGCCGCAAGCGTAGTCCTCAGTGTGTCGTGCCACTCACAAGGCGCCTGGCGGAGACCGTAGACTGGCCGTCGGAGGCTCCACTAGGTACTAGGAGGGAACGACCCAGTGAAGCCAGGTGGACGGCGCAGCCAGATCTCCTCGTGCAGGCTGCCCTGTAGGAAAGCAGTGCTGAAGTCAAGCGAGTGGAGCTCGTAGTCACGCTGAGCGGCGACGTGCAGCAGAACCCGAAGAGTGGTCATCTTCGGGGTCGGGGAGAAGGTCTGGAAGAAGTCAACTCCCTCTCGCTGACTGAAGCCTCGTGCAACGTAACGCGCCTTGAAGACCGGCGGAGAGCCCGACGGCCGCTTCACCCTGAAAATCCACATGCTACTGACGATGTTCGCCCCAGGTGGGGGAACCTCGTCGACGTAGGTGCCTGTGGACTTCCAGGAAGCCATCTCTGTGTCCATGGCTGACTGCCACTGAGAGGAGTAGGGACCGGCCATCGCCTCTGCGTAAGAGCGTGGGGTCGGGATGTGTGGTGCATCCGGGTCTCCCTCAGGGGCAACAAGCATGGACACGAGATGGGGCAAAGCGGCAGCAAAGCACTCAAACTCCTCCTGCCTGTCCTCAAGGACGTCAGTGCCAAGAGCACACTCACCCCCGACGGACGGAGGACAGACAGACTCAGACTCAGCAACTAGGCTAGCAGCGTAGTCTAGAGGACGGCGAGTAGCAAAGTCGACAAGCTCAGCAACTAAGGCAGACGCAGCAGCAGACTCAAAGGAAGGGTCAGTGACAACAGTAGCCAGGAGACGCGTGACAGTCGGACTAGTAGCACGAAGAGAGTCTGACCCAGGGTCAGCAAGAGCAGGAAGAGAGGAAGCAGGAGGAGACGGCAGTGTGGCACGCTGTGGAGCAGTGGACGGACGAAGCGCCATCCGGTGAGTGCCTGGGACAGCAGGAAGACGCTGACGCTGGACTCGACTACTAGAAAGAGCAGTGCGGACAGGCGACTCAGGACGAGACTCAGGCGACGCAGGACGAGACGCAGGCTCACGCCGCTCAGTAAGACCTCCAGTCGGACCAGTGTAAGGAGTAGGACCAGGGAGAAAGGAGGCAGACGGTAACGCCGACTCCAGCTGGACAGGCGGAGGACACGCTAAGGAGGGAGGAGGAAAAGGAGGAGGAAGCTGACCAAGAACATGCTGAAGGAGCGGAACAAAGTACGGCCGAGACCGAGCAGCGACACCAGGGCCAGCAGGGACACCCGCACCAGGATCCGCAGCACCAGCAGCAGCTCCAGCGCCCACGTCCTCAGCACCAGCGGCAGCTCCAACGCCCGGGTCCTCAGCACCAGTAGCAGCTGCAACGCCCGGGTCCGCAGCACCAGCGGCAGCTCCAACGCCTGGGTCCTCAACACCAGCAGCAGCTCCAACGCCCGGGTCCTCAGCACCAGCAGCGGCTCCAACGCCCGGGTCCTCAGCACCAGCAGCAGCTCCAACGCCCGGGTCCTCAGCACCAGCGGCAGCTCCAACGCCTGGGTCCTCATCACCAACAGCAGCTCCAACGCCCGGGTCCTCAGCACCAGCAGCAGCTCCAACGCCCGGGTCCTCAGCACCAGCAGCAGCTCCAACAGCAGCGGGGTCCGTAACACGAGGCACGCCACTCCGAAGAGTGCAGCACCGCTCGTACCACTCACGGATCCGCTCGCGGGAGGGGAGCTCCCGAACGGGAGAAGAAGCACTAGCACCAGTCCTAGTAGTACGTCCGGCTCGAGCGGTACCTCTCTGGAGGCTGCAGTACTCTAAGTACCACGCACGCAGCTGCTCCGAGGAGAGGGCTCCTCCAGGTGCAGGACTCCCAGGCCTAGTACCTCCAGACTCAGAACCCCCAGACTCCGAACTCCGCAGCTCAGCACCACGAGGCTCCACATCCCCAAGCTCAGCACCCTCAAGCTCCACACCCCCAGGCTCCACACCCCCAGGCTCCACACCCCCAGGCTCCACACCCCCAGGCTCCACACTCCCAGGCTCAGCACCCCCAGGCTCAGCACCCCCAGCAGAACAAGAGTCGACAGCTACCTCAACAGGCTCAACCGGGTCTACCTGAGACACACCTGAGGGAGCGGCACCCTGAGGGGGGAGGGGGTCTGCAACAGCAGCACCTGGCGCGAGGAAGAGAGGCGGGGGGGGGAGCGGGGCAGTGCGGTAGGGGAAGAGGCGGTAGTAGGGGACGGACTCGTCAAAAGTGACGTCCTGAGAGGGCAAGACTCGGCGCGAGGTGGCGTGGTAAAACTGCCAACCAGACGCGTCCGGGACAAAGCCGAGGAAGACGCAGGGAACAGCACGGGAGGAGAGCTTGTCCGCAGACGAATCGTGGACAAAAGCTCGAGACCCCCAGACCCGGAAACGCGACGCATCGCCAACCTCCCCCGTCCACAGCAGCGTGGGCGAGGTCTCCGGCAAGGAGACACGGGGCCAGAGGTTGAGCTGATGCGCAGCGTACCGGACCGCAAACGGCCACAGAAAGTGGGGGGCAGGCGCATGGATCAAGGAGGTACGGGCGACCTCCATGACCAGGCCAATGCGGCGCTCCGCAACCCCATTTTGCTGTGGAGAAGCCGGAAGCGTGAACGACTGCTCAATGCCGTGCTCAGCACAGTAGGCTGCCAAGAGGTCGGAGGAGAACTCACCACCTCTGTCAGAGTGCAAGCGCAGGACAGGAAAGTCCGAGTGAAAACGCTCGCTGAGCTAGAGACGGGCTCTGCGGATCCAAGGGATCAAGACATCAGGGACCTCACCCTTGGTGCGCAAGGGGAAGACCGAGGTGTAGCGCGAGTAGTCGTCAACAACTATCAGGAAGTACCTCTCTTGACCCTGACCACGGACGCGGGCTGGGCCCCACACGTCCATGTGGAGTGTCTGCAAGGGAGCAGACGTCGGGGGGAACGAGGAGGAGTGAGGAGCGGCGCGCTGCCGTCCCTCGACACAGGGGAGACAGGTAGGAGCAGGCGAGGGTGGGAGGGCAGGAAGGACCCTGGGCAGGCCAGAGACAAGGTACCGGGAGTGCATGGCACGAAGCCGCTGCACAGACGGGTGGCCAAGGCGGTGGTACTAGAGGACAGTCTCGTGTGCCAAAGAGCGACACGAGCAGGGGGCGGACAGCTGACCTGACGCGGACGCGGACGCACTCGCAGCAACCTGAGGGGACTCATTAGTCAGTGTGTACAGGTCCGACCCCGGCTGCCGAGTGAAGGTAGCCAAGTGACGGCCCGTACGAGCACACGTGCAGTGTGTCACGCGCTCGTAGGCAGGGGTGAACTGGTGAACACCCCTGTCCTGGAGTGCACATCCTGCCACCAAGTTCGTAGAGAACGAGGGGAGGTGGAGACCTGACAGTGTGCCCGACGGGGCCGCAGAGCAAGGAAGGACAGTGGAAGAGGTCGCAATGACCGGACCCCCAGAGGGGTCAGCAAGGGAGACAGCAACTGGCCGAGCAAGCGGCTCAAGGGCAGTGCGGTCACGAAAGAAGCAGCGAGAAGCACCTGAGTCCAGTGTGAAGGTGTGCAGTGCGGCAGTCGACGCAGTACCAGGGGGGGGAGAAACACGAGCACCTAGAGCAGCAGCCTCACCAGCACCTGGGGTAGCCGACACGCGAGTACCTGGAGCGGCAGACGCACTGGCCCTAATGCCCGGGTCGGGCGGCACACACAAGTACTCAGCACCCTCTCCACTAGTAGACATCACATACATGGCAGATAGAATAGCATCAAAGTCTAGAGCATAGATATCAATCCCCTTCTTCAGGAGATCAAGCCAGCGGGGCTGCTCAGTGGCCTGAGGGAACTGAACATGCCAAGCGTCGTCGAGACGAGAGAAGCAGCGCTGTGTGGCGTGCGATCGTCCACACTGCTGACCAGTGCGGTCACCAATGCAAATGACGTACGTGCAGCTAAGACCACCCCCACCCCCGTGTTGAGAGTACCACTCACGGACCTCCTTGGGCGAGGGAGTGTGCTACTGGCCCTGGCCACCGCCAGTGCCTCCACGGCCACCACCACCGCTGCCACCTCCTCGACCACCCCAACCCCTGCCGCCACCTCGTCCACCGCCACCCCAACCGCTGCCTCCACTCCTGCCACCTCCCCCGCCGCTGCAGCCACCACCCCCACCGCTACCACTCGCCCCTCCAGCCGAGCCACCACCCCCACTGCCTCCACCGCCCCCACCGCCGCCTCCCCCGCCGTCACCGCCACCACCCTTGCCCCCTTTGCCCTTGCCGCTGCGGCGTCCGCTCGAGGCAGACGCAGCGCCGACCTTCTCAGCACTAAGAAGGTCGACAGCAGCAGCAGAGGCGACAGAGGGAAGAAGGGGGGAAGGAGAACACCCCTCAAAGAACGGGGTACGGGGGTCGCCACGAGAGGCACCTACAGCAACTATGCTAGTCTCAGCTGCAAGTAGCTCCTTCTTGAGGAGGGAAATGGTGAGCTCAGTGGGGCAACGAGCTAGGAAGTGGTCCCTGACAGCACGCAGTGTGTCAGGGAGGCGGGTGACTAGGTGGTAGAGAGTGAGCCAGAGTGGAGGGGGGTGCGTGGCAAGGAACTCAGTAGGCATGGCGGCACGGAAGCGGGCCTCACTAGTACGGAGGTGCGTGATGAGGTCAGCGACTGTGTGAAAGGAGGCCAGGTCGGGAAACAGGTAGGGGAGGGAGAGGCGGCCTAGTGCGGCAGAGGCAGGTGAGGAGTAGCGAGCAACTACAGCTGTGTACAGTGCCTGTGCAGTCTTGTGCTGACCAAAGTGCTCGCGTTCGTCTATCGGCAGGGAGTTGCGAATGGCGAAGCGAGCGTGGGCATCACGAGTCTGCCACTATGAGCGAGCAGTGCTGTCAGCAGTAGCAGCAGGGGCAGTGACATGGCCTAGGGCGTGATCGTACAGTGAGATGTCATCCTTGGCTGTGAGCTGTAGGTAGAGGTGCAGGTCATCGAGCCAGGTGTCAAACTTCACAGGGCGGCCCTCAGCATCGAACACGAGAACCTGTGGGCTAGCCATAGGAACAGTAGAAATAGCAGCAGTAGCAGTAGGAGAAGCAGGTAGGACGAACCAGGTAGGGCAGGACGGCGCGGCTCGGTTCAGGTCGGGTCGCGGCTCGGCTGGGTGGCGCGGCTCGGTTCAGGGCGCGCGGCTCGGCTCGGGGCGCGCGGCTCTGGTCGCGCGGCTCGGGTCACAGCGGGGAAGGGCCGCCCGCTCTCCCTCGTGTGCTGCGGCGGGAACGGGCCGCCCGGGGCCTCTAGGTGGTGGGCACGGGTCGGCGAGGTCGGCACGGGGCCAGTTGGGGCCCTAGAGGGGCGAGCGCGGGGCCGATCGGGGCCTGAGCGGGGCTAGCGCGGGGCCAAACGGGGCCTTGACGGGGCTAGCAAGGGGCCGACGGGGCCTGAACGGGGCTAGCGCGGGGCCGACGGGGCCTGAAACGAGGCCGACGGGGCCTGAAACGGGGCTAGCGCGGGCCCGATCGGGGCCTGAATGGGGCTAGCGCGGGGCCGACGGGGCCTGAAACGGGGCTAGCGCGGGCCGACGGGGCCTGAGAGGGGCTAGCGCGGGGCCGACGGGGCCTGAAACGGGGCCAACGGGGCCTGAAACGGGGCTAGCGCGGGCCGACGGGGCCTGAGAGGGGCTAGCGCGGGGCCGCCGGGGCCTGAAACGGGGCCGACGGGGCCTGAACGGGGCTAGCGCGGGGCCTGAACGGGGCCTTAAAGGGGCCGACGGGGCCTGAACGGGGCCGCTAGGGAGAGCGGGCGTGGGGCCGACGGGGCCTGAACGGGGCTAGTGCGGGGCCGTCAAGAGGGGCCTCTAGGGGCGTGACACGCCGAGGCGCCCTAGGGCACAGGTAGGTAGGTAGGTAGGTAGTTACGTAGTGGTGGGCCCTTAGAAAATTTCGGTCCTAGGAAGGACCTGCTCTATACCATGTTGGAATCACTGAACAGGAATGGATGAACTAGCAGTGAAATGAGTACAAGTACCTAACCCTAGAATTGTGTACCCCCTATAGGCTAACCCACTGTAGCCTAAACTAACACAACATATATAATGTTTGACAATCGTAATTGCCTACAACTTGTTGTTAGTTTATTAGTTAGAGAACCTATTGCTGGTGGTGTACCCTTTGTCTTGCCCTCATCTTGCCTTCCCTATATCTTGTACCCTTGCCTATTATTGAACCCCCCTTTGGCCAACCTAAACTCTCTCGATATCCATCTCGCTATGGTACTCTCCCTCCAAGCTCATAATCTCCTAAGTTCTTATCTCAACATGGTTTCAGAGCAGGTCCCGGTTTAGGACCGCTCCTTTTTATGGGCCCACCCTTAGCTTCAGTCATGTCGCGCCCCGTATGGATTCCGTCGCGCTCTGCCCGCAGCCCATCCGTCACGCCCTGCCCGTGGCAAGCGTGCCAGCGAGCTGTGGCGAATGCGGCAGAGGCAGTCGCCAGCGCCAGCGATTGCCGTCAGCGACCGTCACAATCGCCAGTGCCAGCAACGGTCGCCAGCGCAAGCGCGAGCCGTTAGCGACCCGTCGTCGCGCCAGCGAGATCCGCCAGCGCTCAAGCGGATCCGCCACCGAACGCGGCAGCGACACGCCAGCGCGCTAGCGGAACCAGCTGCGTACGGGCCAGCGAATGCACCAGCACGCAAATGAGGTGGCGTGGTGATTTTGGCCGCCGTGAGCCTACTGCACCGTCGCCCCGCCTACTCCTCCCTCTCCCTGCTGCGATTGTTGCAGTGGGGGGGAGGGGGAGAGGTTGTTGGGGTGACGGGTATGAGCAGACAGCCGCCCCTTCCTCCTTCCACCTCTTACTCTCTCCTCTCTCTCCCTGCAGCGCCTGTCGCTGCGGGGGGAGGGGGGAGGAGGGTGAGGGGGTGGCGGGAGAGCTTCTGCCGCGCCAGCCGCCTCCTCTCTTCCCCTCTCCTCTCCTCGCTCCTCTCATCCGGCCGCCCCTTCTCTCCTCTCCTCTCCTCCATCCGCCTCTCCTCCTCCTATCTCCTCTCCTCCAGCCGCCTCTCCTCTTCTCTTCTCCTCACACCTGTGCACCACCAGCTTCTTTCTCCTATCCAACAGTTGGTGTTTATCACCAGCATCCTACGCCCTCCGGTTTAGCCCTGCTCCTGCTCCGTTCTGGCGTTTTTAGGTGCTGCCATTCAACCACCGCTGTTTCTGTGCATATCCCAGCTACAGCAGCCGCTCTCCAGGCGGCCTGCTGCCAGACACCACAAACTATAGCCGTAGGCAGTTACGGGGGTGTGTTGAATAATATTGCATATCCTAACTGCCTACAGCTTGTTGTTAGTGTATTAGTTAGATATTATAACCTATTGCTTGTTGTACCCTTTGTCTTGCCCTTCTTTTGCCTTTCCTATATCTTGTACCCTTGCCTAATATTGAACCCCCCGTTGGCCAACCTAAACTCCCTCGATATCCATCTCGCTATGCTACTTTCCCTCCAAGCTTCTAATCTCCTATGTTCTTATCCCAACAGAATCACCATTTCCTCCACTCTCGTGACGTCATCTTGTACGAATTTGTCTGCTTCTACGCTCGCTTCTTCACCGATATATCGAGTTCCCCCCTCTTTCTCACTTCCACTCCTCCCCTTAGTCCCACCTCCGTTTGCTCCCCTGCCCCCGCCTCCTGCCCCATCTGGTGTGTCTCATATGACCCCCCTTAACTCGATTGTGCTTGTGGGAGAGACTGTTGACTCTCGAGGCCCGGTACGTGGGGGTGCGCCTTCTGTGTCGGCCCCTTCGCCGCCTCCCACCCGGCCCCTATCCCCGCAGCAGCCGCTGCCACAGTCTCTGCCATCACCAGCGGCGTTCTGGCAGATGCAATAGCAGCCTTTGTCGCTGCCACAGCCGTCGTTGCCGCCGTCGCTGTAAACTATGGGGGTGCTGCTAATAAGCACGCATGTTTTGGGGGTTTTGCCGCTGTGTGTGCTGATTCGGGAGGTGCTGACAATGGGAGTGCTGGTTCTGGGGGCGCTGCCGCAGGAGGTACTGGTACTATGGATGTCGTATCGTTCGACGCCTAGGTTGTGTGAAAGATCTAGCAAGGCTAAGGAGCCGTAGCTAGTAGGTCGAGTGAATTGATTATCGAGCAAGTTGAAAAGTCGAGAGTGAAGATGTCGGAGTTGCGGCTGCACTCTTCTTTGCCTTGATTCTCCTGCTCTGTCTTCTCCTTCGTTCCCTCTATTGCCTCAGCCACTCTCAGAAAGTGACGAGACTCTCACCTCAAAGGTCCTCCCTGAGTGGGTGTCACCAAACGCAAGGCTAGAGGTAACCAGAATCCACTATACGAAAGGATAACAAACGGAAAGCATTGTGTGTGTGTGTGAGAGTGAACTTACCTGTCCCTAGCTCGAGCCGTGCATTTCTCAATGTGCGGCTCGGGCCTGGGTGGGTTTGTTCCCATTGGTCGCGAGGATTTCACCCCTTGGTGATCTCCTACCGACTCCGCGTCAATTTCCCAGCCCCCCACCTACTTATCCTTGAGGCTGCATACACCAAATACAACACATCACTACACCCGTCCTACACCTTAATCATACTGGCACCTTATATGCACAACCGTGGATATTCGGTGACAGCTGTCGGAGTTGCGGCTGCACTCTTCTTTGCCTTGATTCTCCTGCTCTGTCTTCTCCTTCGTTCCCTCTATTGCCTCAGCCACTCTCTGCCCCCTCCTGTGCCCGTGCTCGAGCAGCTTGAGCGCAGGTCACAGGACCAGTACGCTGAGGCCCTGTTCCCCTTATCACCGCCGTGTTCGTCTGATGTTCCCGCAGCTGCGCCCCCGCGTCATTTTCCAAGACCAGCACTCCTGATGGGCGCACCTCCTTGACTTTCCAGCGCACTGTCCCCAATCCCACATCTAGGGTGTCCTGCTTGGCCTTCTTCAGATACACTTCCTGTCCTTCGCTGATGGCCCTTGCCGCTCGGCCCTCCCCCTTTTGCTGCCTTTGTTCATATCGCCTGGCATCTCTGAGCTGTGCGGTGCGCAGGTTCTCCAGCGCGGCTGGCATCATGTAACGCATGTACCGCGCCCTCACCTCGGACAGGGCTACCCAGTTCTTGATTATGCCCGCTGTCACTGTGTCTGTCAGCACCCGTGGTGCCCCCACAGGCAGGATTGGGTCCCGTCCGTATAGCAGGCTGTATGGGGAATGATCCTTCAATGCTGCCTGCTTCCCGAATCTATACCCTGCTGCGATCCAGTCCAACTCCTCATCCCAGTCCCTCTTCCGCTGCTCCCCATAGGCCCGGAGCCCTCGCTTGAAGGTCTGCACTGCTCGCTCAGTCAGCCCGTCGCTCTGCGGGTGGTAGCGAGAGGTCTTCCGATGGGTGATGCCCGACTCCGCCAGCAACTTCTTGAACTCCCCCTGGAACTCCGTTCCCTGGTCTGTAAGCACCTCCCCACATGCCCCAAACCTACACACGACCTGTGCCTTGAAAGCTACTGCAATGTGCCTTGAGCTCTTGCTGGGGATGGCTCTCACCTCCAGCCACTTGCTCACATGCTCCACCATGAACACGATGTACTGGTTCCCACTCCTGCTTAGGGGCAGCTCCCCTGCCAGGTCTAAGGACCATCGGAACCCTAGCCCGCAGATTGGCAGTGAGGTCAGCTCTGCCTTGGCCTGCGTCAGGTTGGCTTTGCTCCTCTGACATGCCTCACACCCCTCTACCCACTCCTTCACCTGTCTGCGCATCCCTTCCCACCACCAGCCCGTCTTCAGCAGATGTACGGTCCTCTCATGTCCGAAGTGTCCCAGCTTAGTGTGTACCTCTTTGATTATTGCTTCACGGTCCTGTGGCGCTGGCACCAGCTTCCAACCGTCCTCTGTCTTGACCTGCAGCTGCTGCTGGTACCACCTGTAGTGGTGTCCTCGTGCTCTCACTCTGTCAGACACTGCCTCGTCTTCCTCTGTTTCTCCCCTCACCCACTTCATCGCCTTCTCATCCTGCCATATGTCCGCTGGCCCCTTACTCCCCTTGGCACCGACTTGT